TTAATGCCAAGAGAATTGATTTTTGTGGATTCACAATACCCCTAAACAAAGGCTTGGTCTGCAAAAGTTCAACATCATCATACAACTCAGCCAAAATTTAGGAAATAATGCAAGGGGGCTCAGAGAAAGTTGGGAGTTACTGGTTCAGGAATAGAACAGAATGTCAAAAGTTGTTGGGAGCTGCTCTAGAAACCTCTGATGACTCTGTCTCTTGCTACCATCTGAATAAAAAAAGCATCTTCTCTTGACCCAGGTGCTGATCACATGGCACAAACCTGCAGTTGGAGGCGGGGCCCGGCGTGGGGAGCACAGGGCAAGTTCTGACGGATGAAAAAAGAGAGGACATATCAGTACACACCTGACCATGCTGCCACATCTGTCTCTCTCACCTTATTACAGACTGTATGAGCACACACCTGCAGCTCATGCTATGCACACCTCATATACCGTTTCCAATATCAAAGAATATGAATACAATTTAAAGGTAAAGTGTGTCATTTCTGGCGCCCCTAGTGGTGACAGTTGGAATTGAAAAAATAATGAATGTTACCTATAGAGTGCTGCAGGAATTAGTCCTAAACCTCAGTGTTAGCATTTCAAGTACTTCAAGTTCCATCGTCTGGAAGTCAGTGGGTTTTTTTGAATTAGTGTAAATGTCTTAAATAAGGTATGTCATTAACAAAAGCTCAAGATATTCTCACGTTTTATTCTATGACATAAAATACGTTACCTACCTTTTTTCAGCTTTTACTAGTCTTGAAAAAGGCTAATAAGTGGCTAAGAATATTTAATTCTAATGGCAATCATCATGACAAACATAAAAATAAATCTACATACTGCTTTTACTCTCACTCCTACAAAGTATTCTTACTCAAACATTCTCAAACTTCTTTCTATTTCAAAATGTATTATTTATATTAAAGGGGTCATATAATGTTGCTAAAAATAACATTATTTTGTGTATTTGGTGTAATGAAATGTGTTTATGCGGTTTAAGGTTAAAAAATTATTTTCCCATTATTTTCCACATACTGTACATTATTGTTTCTCCTCTACGCCCTGCCTTTCTGAAACGCGTCGATTTTTACAAAGCTCATCGGTCTGAAAAGCAAGGTGTGCTGTGATTGGTCAGCTATCCAGTGTGTTATGATTGGCCGAATACCTCAAGCATGTGATGGAAATGTTGCATTAATGTTAATGTTTATTAATTGTATGTAATTAATGTTACCCCTTACCATACTGTGATGATGCCCTGTCCGGCCGGAGCGATGATTCAAAAACATGAAAACCCATTATAAACGAGGCATTTGTTGCATCCAATGGGAACATAATGAAGTGCTCTGGAACAGTGTTGTAAATACAACTTAAGCACTGATTTCTAGTCGTGTCCATTTTTGGAAGGCCAAACAATGTAGTTCGCTTTCACAATGAAACACAGCTTCACACAGGGTGGCCTAGAGTGAGCAGCGCCCGGGGGCTAAAGTGAGGAACGGCCGGAGGGCTAGAGTGAGCAGAGGCCGGGGGCTAGAGTGAGGAACGGCCGGAGGGCTAGAGTGAGCAGAGGCCGGGGGCTAGAGTGAGGAATGGCCGGAGGGCTAGCGTGAGCAGAGGCGGCGGGCTTGAGAACGGCGCGGCCGGCGGATTCGACGAAGGAGCGTATAAAGAATATCTCTTTAGATTTGAGACTTTAGTCTTTGCAACTTTACAGATCTTCTTTATGCACCAATAGCTTAAATTTAAAGCATCATATGACCCCTTTAAGATGTAATTTATTCCTGTGATGGCAAAGCTGAATTTTGGCATCATTACTCCAGTCTTCACTTCAGTGTCACATGATCCTTCAGAAATAATTCTAATATGCTGATTTGCTGCTCAAGTAACAGTTCTTTTTATTATCATAGCTGAAAAGGGTTGTGGTGCTTAATATTTTGTAGAAACCATGAAAACATTTTTGTAGAATTCATGAAACCTAAGAAAGGGTTGTCACATGGAAAAAATGACACACTTCACCTTTAAGTAAGATGAGCAAGTGAAAACATTCTCAGATCCGAACCTATGTTGATGCATCCGACCCCATCTGAATGGGTCACTGGAGTCGAGAGCAGCCAAACCTCCTAACTGACACTTATCAAACATGGCACCTCAACACTCCAAGGGCACATGCGCTATTCTATAACAGGAGGAATAATGAGCACACCGGGCTGGGCTTGGCCCAAAAATGTCTGGGTGAGTTGTGCTCTGTCCTGCCTGCAGCTAAAGGTGACCTCTGCACTCTGAGTGGCTCCGTGAGTAAGAAACATGTGACCTTCAGTGACGATGTTTGGTCAGGAGGAGCTGACGGACACTTACCCTCGGGCCGGTATTGGGCGATGATGGTTACCGTCTGGCCCGCTCCTTTCAGCGCAGCTGCAGCTTGTTCATGAGTGGCACCTCGCAGATCGATTCCATTAACCTGAAATCAATCACAACAAAGCATCAATCATCAATAACACTCACCAAAGACATTAATTAAATGATCAACAAGGATACGATGACTGTTTGATCATTTATTATCGGTAACAAAATACAAAGCATGTGATAATAAAAGCTAATTCATCAACTGACCTACATTGATGTCTTAAATTGTAAGCTTTAAAAGGGCAGCAATACTGTCAGTACTAATAAAGCTCTCTAACGAATTCATTTTTTAAATTGCTTGACTCTCAGAAAATGTGGTATCTTTTAGCTTGGAGTGATCTGGCACAAGAAACGCCTGCTATGATCCAGGCGCACAGAAAAGCCTACAGTAAAGGATCAGTGGGTGGCAGTACCCTGTAGGCCAGAGTCTGCAACAACTGAACCACAGAGTAATCAGTGTTCCTCCAAAATATGAGTTTGGCTCAGTTGTGCGCATCATCTGTTCTATGACCCAATTTGAGCCATCGAAAGTCAATGTTCAAGCAGGTTGGGAATTGCTGTATACTGCTGGCACACAAACCTGGAGCAGGTGTTGCAGCCAAACAGCTGGTAAAGTTGCACTCATTTTTTCCTCATTTAAAGGTTTTGCACATAAATAAAAGAACAGTAATTGCGAAAAATCTCTATTAAAATTACATGAAGACTCCAGTCAAATCAGTGGCCTAAAAACTGTTTTATGGTGGCCAACATGTTGAGATCACATGATCAGGCAAATACTATTTATTTTATGTATCCCTCCATTACGGGACACTTTAACTTGTGGAATAAATGAATCATGGTTGACAATGGTTGTAGTCCTTATGTAGCAGCTTGTTAGCAACAAAAATTTTTAAGCACACAGCAGTTTGAGGTACACCACAAATAAAAAGTTTGGGCTCTGAAAGATTTTTACAATGTTTTTTGAAGAAAGCCTCTGAACTAAATGATCACCAAGGCTGCATTTATTTGATCAAAATACATTAAATAATAAAGCAATGTAAAGTAATATATAAAATATTACATATTTTTAAATTATATTTCTTTCAGGATTTTTTGATATATATAAAGTTGGATGGAAAAAAAACCCTACTGGAAATAGAATATAATAGAATAGAACATTATAAAAATCATAGAAAAAAATAATACTGATTTCAAACTTTTGAATGGTAGTTTATGGCTGTGCAATTTGTGTTTCAAAACAAAATGTGAAAATATCTTCACGTAATGAAGTAATGTTAACCATAGACCTTATGCTGCTCATAAACTGAAAAATGTCAACTCTCCTTTGGTGTCAAATGTTTCTACAAATGTTTCTCAATGCCTGATTGACTCAATGCTTAAATAACACTGTCTTGCTGTTTTAACCAATCAAAAGAGCTTTTCTTAAGTGGTTAGAATTATATTAAGCTAGCAGGCTAAGTTATTACAGCAGAATACTAATCGAAGGCTAAGTTACTTTTTTTTTAAAAAGTAATGTTATATGTAAATTAAAATAAATTTACATATTTTCATGATTAAAACTAAATGACACAATTTTCTATCATTTCTAATTAGTTTCAGCCAATGGAATCTATTTTGGGTCCAGGATGGGTTCCGGTTTCTGCTGGGGGGGCCGGATCTGGAGTGACACCAGGTTTAGGAATACAAACAGAAGAAGTCAACATGAGACTACAGCGCAGTGGGAGGGGCAGGTGAAGTGTGTGTTTGTGAGTCTCTCAGCACACCTGCAGAGTGTCCTAATGCTCATTTAACAGTGTGAACTCAGAAGGTACACCACAGCTATTCTTAGACTCCAAATCAGGCCAGCACTCCATTATCTCTTCCCTCCCTCTCTATTTTTCTCCTCTTACTTGTTCTTTCTCGCTTTTTAATCAGTGTCCTAAGGAGGCAGACCGTGATTGCTCTCGGCTCAAGTGGCACCGAAAGTAATTGCGGCGGGGATCTGGATGGAGGGATCTGATTACGACCAGCGAGTCCTGATGAAGCTCTGATAAGCATAAATGATGAGATCAGCGACAGGAAATCAGCTCGGAGAGCTTCTCGAGTGGATCACTGATCTGGATTGTTTCAATGAGAGCTGTAATTGCGCTGTCAATGAACACATTGCAAAAAAAGTTAGGCCACTGTGCCAAAAACTAAAATTATAATGGAAAAAAAAAAAAAACCCTGGTACTGGTGGAGTTTTGAGTGGTTACTAGACAAAAAAAAAAAAAGTGTTTTCAGTACAGGTTTGGTAGGGTTCACAGACATGTGATGGCGCCACCTCCTGTTCAGTATAGGTTCTTCACAAACTCTGGGAATTTTATATACCAATTTGAATAACTACCTAAAAACATGCATGATATTTGTTCAAATTAAAACATAATAACTATTAAAAAATTAAGAAGCATTAAAATTACTCCAATAAACATTTAGGTATCTTTAATCATGGATGCCCATGATTAGAGGACCTAAATGTAAGTTAAAGATATAAGGTCATTTAAAAACCTAGATTTATCATCTACTAATTTGAATATTAAGGGAAACGTGTGCTTGTTTATGGTGGTTTATATCCTTGTTTTTAACATAGAAAAGCAAAATATGACATCTATTAATTACCTAACCTTAATAAATGCTAAACCAATAAATGGCTGTTTACAGCAAACATTAATATTAATATACCTTATTATAATCGCTGCAATATTATTTAGCCATTTTGCCCTCATGTATACAATTTATGTATTTGCAGGACGTCCACTTACGGATAGGATCTGGTCCCCTCTCCGCAGCTCTCCGCTGAGGTCTGCGGGCCCTCCTGCAAGTATGAAAGAAACGAAAATGCCTTCTCCATCTTCTCCTCCTACGATGTTGAAGCCCAGTCCAGTCGAGCCCTTGTGCAGAACGATCTTCCTGGGCTCCCTGTACACACAGTTCAGATAATACATCAGCTCAGAGTCCGTAGGGCTCAGCATCTCCACTGACGCACGCTACGCTACTTTGTAAACATACACATGCAATCTACGCGTGCACACACACACGCATCCACACTCTTGGGTCGGTCCAAACGGTCTACAATGTAGACGAGCACAATAGCTGACACCTATTGGGGACTGCTCCACTTATGTGCTATTTGTCCCATTTCCGCCCGGTTTCCTAGAAACGGAGAAGACGCACAGCCTCACACACACACACACACACACACAC